ACACGCAGCACCATCTGTTTGGAACCCTTCCTCCTTTGAAAATACTGAGTCACTTCTACCACCTCGCACTTTAAAAATCCTTCTTCTCCCACACCAGAAATGCTCTTTATAAGGGACACTATAAAATTGTTCAGTGTATACCTGAATTTGAGAGTTATTTTTTCCACTTTTAGGAATAGTCTGAATTATTTTAGTTGCTTTTTTAAAAAAGCAAAACTTTAATGAACTATTTTGTTGAATGCTTCACAGATCATATTATTTTTTAAACAAACAATCCTCCACCACCTCCCAGAGTTTATAATATGCTGAAACCCAGTTAAGTCAATAATTCTCTATAGTAGAAAACCATTTCTAGTAGAGCATCACAGAGTATTTTTATTCTTATTTGAGAGTGGCAGTGGTGGTTGAAATTTAGGACTACTAGGCTGCGTCTAGACTGGCATGATTTTGCGGAAATACTTTTAACGGAAAAGGTTTTCCGTTAAGTATTTCTGCAAAAGCGCATCTAGATTGGCACGGATGCTTCTGCGCAAAAGTCTAGACACGACTTTGTGCAAGAAAGCCCCGATCGCCATTTTAGCCATCGGAGCTTTTTTGCGCAAAACAGTTCTTCCTTGTTTACACTGGCCCTCTTGAGCAAGTATTATTGCGCAAGAAGGCTTTTTCCTGAGCGGGAGCGTGAAAGTATTTGCACAAGAAGCACTGATTTTGTACATTACAAAGTCACTGCTTTTGCGCAAATTCAAGCGGCCAGTGTAGACAGCTGGCAAGTTTTTGCGCAAAAGACGCACCCCTAGTGTATAATAATTTTATTAATACTGTAGGTATCTGGTTAGTGAGATAGAAACTGTGTAGCTATATTAAGTTATAAGCCTCTCTCATATCAATGTATCAATCTCTCTTAAGAGGATGCTATTGGAAACTCCCCCACCCCAGGAAAGCCACAAAATTGATCTACATAAGAACGGCCATGCTGGGTCAGACCAAAGGTTCATCTAGCCCAGTATCCTGTCTTCCGATAGTGGCCAATACCAAATGCCCCAGAGAGAGGGAACACAACAGGTAATCCTCATGTGATCCCTCTTCTGTCACCCATTTACAAACAGAGTCTAAGGACACCACTCTTACCCATCCTAGCCATTGATGGACCTAACCTCCATGAATCTATCCAGCTCTTTTTTGAACCCTGTTAAAGTCCTAGTCTTCACCACATCCTCAGGCAAGGAGTTCCACAGGTTGACAATGCACTGAGTGAAGAAAAACCTCCTTTTGTTTGTTTTAAACCTTCTGCCTATTAATTTCATTTGGTGACTCCTAGTTCTTATGTTGTGGGAATGAGTAAATAACTTTTCCTTATTCACTTTTTCCACACTAGGCATGATTTTATAGACCTGTATCATATTCCCCATTCATCTCCTTTCTTCTAAGCTGAAAAGTCCAAGTCTTTTTAATCTCTCTTCATGTGGGACCCGTTCCAAACCCCTAATCATTTTTGTTGCTCTTTTCTGAACCTAGATAAGTAGCCTCCCAAACACATATTTAGGGTGCAATTACAAGACAATGGTCAAGCTATTTGCAGGGAAGATGCCACTTGCAGGCTCCAGCCCAAAGAGACTTTTTGCCAGGGCTGGGAACTGAGAAATTGTTACAAAGGCTCTCTGGAGAGAGGGATAGGGAGCTGTAAGTGAGCTGTTTGTATGGGGAACAGACTGGCATGGACACAGACAAGTCCTTCACCATCTGAAGGAGATGGGCCCTTCTGCAGCTTCCAGGAGGTGGCGAGCCCTAGGGCAGTGGTCCTCAACCGCGGTGCCCACGGGTGCCATGGCGCCCACCGGGGCATTTATGTGCACCCGCCTAGTGACCAGGGCCAGACCGAGCCATTCTCGTGCCCCGGGCCCTGGCGCAGGTGTGGCCCCCACCCCCGATGGCCCAGCAGCCCCAAAAGGTTGGGGACCACTGCTCTAGGGAAAGGCAGGCATGCCTACAGACTGGCTATCATTATGTTTTTCTTTGAAATGCTTTGATTCAAAACAAACAATACAGAGCTTTGAGAAGGCCGTTTGGCCATAGGCTATTACTGGTCATAGCTCCTGAAGAGCAGAAACGCGGGCACTACACATAAGTCAGCCCTGCTGAGGAAATCATGGCTAGTAACAGGGCATAGCAGCCCAGAGGACGGGAATCACAGGCTCCCACCTTGAGAGAGATGGTTGGAAACTGGAGGGGGCTCCTGCAGGGAGAGCAGGAGAGATCAAAGATGCAGTTAGCTCAGTTAGTGGAACTTGACTAAAAATTGTGTTGGGATGGCAGTTAAATTACATGCACTGTAAATATTGCCTGGGATTCCAAAAATAATCCTTTTCTGGAAATCACAAGTTAATCTGTTCAAGTGTCAGGACCAAACATACCATATGTTAAAGAGAAATGTGTTCTAAAAGTAACTGAAAACAAAACAAAAAGCCCACCCTATCAGTGATTTAAAAATATTGCAACAAAGAATGCTCAGTGGATTGATGTTTCTTTTTTGGGGGGGCCATTCTGCTGGTCTGAGCAGGGAAATACAGCCTCAGCAGAGCCACTGCACTAGCAATACAGGTGGACTTGCAAGGGCAGGCAATGGACTAGCTTTGACTCAATCTCCCTGTAAGCCAGGCAGCACAGCTGCACTTGGGGTTTGTCCTGCCTCAGTTTCCCCAGACACATTCTGGAGCACTGTAATAAAATGCTCCCCTTTCCCTGGGGCTCACAGCAAAGCCCCCTATTAGTCTCCTGTAACCAATGTACAGATATCATACCCTATTTTCTTTCCTGAGAAGGAAAAAGATAAGCAGGTAAAACCCTAGAGCACTGTTTCTTAAACTTTTTAAGACCAAGGGACACTAAACGATTTTTTTTAATGGGGAACACCCCAAGGATTTTTTTTTGTTGAGGGTAAAAAAAAAAGCCCCCAGGGAAAAGCTGTTCAGAAAAAAAAAGCGGCCATTTTTAATAAACCCCCTTTTCTGTGGTCTTGCTGTGCCAGGCTCTCCAGCCTCCTCTAGCCAAACCATCAGAGAAGGCCACGCTCAGCTTCAGATACAGACCGAGATCAGCTCTAGGAGGCCTCAGTTAAAGGGATTTACTCCAGCATTCAGATATTCACACACCCTCTTGGGGTACAAACACAAAGTTAAATGAAGTTTTCCTCCTTCCTCAATGTAAAGGAAGGAAAACATGGCTTCTTGCCCTCCCCTGTTAGAAATTACATAAACTGAGTTATAAACAAGAAAAGTTTGTTAACTAAAAGAACAAGGTAGATTTTAAATGGTTATAAGTGGCAACAAATAGAACAAAGAAGATCACTTCAGTAAATAAATAGAACACCCTTGCTATCTTTAATGAAGAAATTGGCTACAATTAATATTTTTCATCCTGAATATTGTTCTAGGCAGATTCTTTCACAGATCAGAGAAATCTTTCCAGCTTGGATCAGCAGCAGTCCAGTCTCTTATTCTCAGGTATTTTCATATATCCTTTTGGGATGGGGAGGCAGTGGCAAAGCCAGTTGGCGACACTTATTGTTTTCTTCCTCCATCTTATATAGAATGCTCATAAGGTGGCAAACCTTTGTTTGAGTCCCCCGCACCCACTTGTGGAAATGTACAGAATTCAAGATGGGTCACATGTCTCTGTAGGGCCCCTGCAGCCATTCTTCACAGACTGACCCAACAGGCTTGCAGGAAATCTAAACTCTTTGGCTATGTCTAGACTGCCCCCTCTTGCACCAAAAATATGGAAATGAGGCGAAGTGTGGAATATCGCTGTGCCTCATTTGCATAATTAATGAGGCTCCATTTTTGCTCAAGAGGCTTTTGTGCAAAAACGGAGCCTTGTTAATTATGCAAATGAGGAACAGCAATATTCCACACTGCCTCATTTGCATATTTTTGCTCAAGCGGGGGCAGTCTAGACATAGCCTTTAAGTTTGTCTCTTGCTAATGGGACATTAGCACTGGCTTTTTCATTGTAGTCCCCGAAATACAAGCAACAGGAATGACCCAAAGCAGAAAATATATAATACAGATACACAGGTCAATATTCTTAACTTTCTGTATAAGAATGATACATGCATTCAAATAGGATACTCACAGTCAGTAACTTATAACCTTTCCAGTGATACGTTGTTACATGAGCCTGTTTGCAGAAAGCATATCTCACTTATGACACATTCATCTCTCGGGCATATTTTCATAAAGCATATGGAATATTAAGTCACAAGTTGCATAAAAAAAAATCTGCTGCTTACTTTATCTGCACAGTTTGTGAATTAATCTATGAACATGAAACTGACAAAAATCAAATAGAGGAAACATTTTAGGAAAGCAAAGTAGCTAAAATTTCACTAGCATCTGAAATGTTTAATCCAATGTAAAGTCACATATGCAGCGTCAACATTCAGAAGCAAATCCTGGAGCCAGTCAAGTCTGTTCAAATTGTGAAATGGACATTTTTGGATATATGGGGGGCGAGAGGGAGGGAAGGAAAGGCAGAGGATGTTTATCATAAAACTCTTTGGAGGCACAGATTTAATACCTTAAGCAGACATATTGCATTACTAATACTACACCATATAAGCAGAAACTTGTTGCTAAGAGCCTCAACGTTTGCAAAACAATCGGCTTCGGATCTAAATGAAACACTGGACTTTGATATTTGGGATTGAAGGATGAACAGGGCTGTGGGATCCGGATTTAGAGCCAACTTGATTATTTCACTGCTTGTTTGCTTCAGCTGGCTAAAGAATTACAGTGGGATAAAATTTTTTTTTCTTTTGATGAGCGATAAAAGAAAAAGATCTGCACTCTACTTTGTTATAAAATATATTGTTTATTATTGTATGCAGTGTACTAATACGGCAATTGCTCTGAGTACTTTTGTATACTTTATTATGTACATTATTTTACTCCTCTTAAGAAAAGATCAGCCTGAAATACAACAAAATTTGTGTGTGATTTACAAAGATGAACAAAATAATCAGTTGATTGTGTGTCTGCAAAAAAACAATAATGCTGCTTGCACTCACAATTTAAATCTCTCAGTTAATCGGGTTAATGATGTGGGCTTATCTTCATCTAATCTTCTTTTTAGTATTTGAGTTTTCATGATACATTTGCTTAAGTCCTAACCAGGACTGCCACAGTAAAAGTCCAGGAATCACTATCCATATGCCATTAAAAAATACCAGATAGACCCAGAGATAAAGCCAGTTACTGGTATTTAGGTTAGGACTTCCAATGAGCCAGTCTGGGCAGAATGTCATCCACCCACCATATAATTCACAAACACACAATGTAATCTGTATGAAATGCCTGTAAAGAGGAATAAGAAAAAACAATTAGGCAACAGCAATAAAAATTAGTGCTATCCAGAAACTCATTCTGTTTCACACATCATTTTCAAGGTTTTGAAAGTTTAGTTCTGATGCAGAATGAAAGACCTTTGAAATTTTTTCTCCACAAAACAATCACGAAACTCACCTCAGACTAGCTAATCATCCAGTGATTAAGGGACTCAACTGGAACATGGGAGAGACAGGTCCCTGCTCTGAATTAACTAGAGCAGGGACATGAATCTGATTCTCATATAAGGACAGGTTTTTTTCAGGGGCGTGTCTCTCCAATTTTGAACAAAAATTCTATCCTAGATCTGAGAAACTTTCTGTATGAATTTTTTTGTCAAACCCTATATTCTTCTAAGAAATATTTTGATTTCAACAAAACAACATTTTACACATAGAAAAACATTGTCAACAAACTTTTGGCCACTATCCTAGTGCTTATAATGCTTCACTATTATAGAGATTAGGACCAACCATCTTGAAGAACCTCCATTATAATTATAGCTTTCTTCTTCAAGGGCTCATCCCTACGCACATCCCATGTGTGGTGAATACTGCAATCATTCTGCTTGCCAGACAGAGCACTTTTTAACCTGTACAACTTAACCTGCTTATTTTTTAATCTGCTAATCAAGACAAGCAACATTATAGTTTACTAAGCCACCATATGTGGATGGAATATGCTTAATTTACCAAAGCCACTTAAGCCCCTGTTTCTCCTTCTATCTAGAATGAAGAACCACATTTAGATTCCATACAAAATAAGCATTTTTTTAACATCAGGACACAGCCGTGTGATAATCAGGTTTCATAACATCGTTGAATTTGTCATGTAGATAGGACACACTGACTGGCAAACAGAAGTTTTTCAATGGTTTGTACCTAATTCAAGGTGCCAGAGTGTACATATAGATTCATGTGTGTTTATTTTTCTTAGTGAAATCACTTTCAAATATGACAAGATTTTAAAAAGAAAATGGAGGTTACCTGCCTGTACTTGGAGGTTTTTCAAGATGTATGATCCCTATCAGCATTCCACATGTGAGTACTCATGGGCTCCATGTGCCTGAGACCAAAAAACTAGCAAGTAGTGTTCATTGGTCTATGCCTGCACCTTGGTATTTCTTGTACTCAGTACCAAACATACCAGGGCAGGTGGAGACTGATCATTTCTCAAGTTCCTTCTCTACCACAAACTTATATGTGATGTGAAATGAAGCAGATGGCATAGAGGGCAGATAGGGACCAAACACCTGTAACTGGAAGTTCAATAGAAGTAACCTCTATTTATTCTTGGAATGCTGGTCCCTTTGCATATGCCACCTGTGGGTGACTATGACTGGTAAACAGTACTTAAATAGGAGGGAGGTGCAGGAATGTGGGCAGTGTAGAGGTCTATAGACTATAACATCACTGGCCCAGTGGCAGCGTCTGTGGCAGTGTCTTGGACAAAAGACATGCAACTGACAAAGTGGGTCTTTGCCCACGAAAGCTTATGCTCCTACACTTCAGTTAGTCTATAAGGTGCCACAGGACTCCTCGTCGCTTGGACAAAACTGTAATCCTTCATGAAAGTGTGGATGGAACACTTGGTAGCTGCCCTAGATATGTCCAATGTAGGTACTTGTGATAGGGCAGCTGCCCAGCACTGGCTGTTCCAAGGGTTAAACCCAGCCCTGGGAGAGAATTGTGGCTGTGGAGACAGCAGCTGTGGCATATGGCAGCCAATTAGTGCCCAGGTGGGGCTGTATAAATTAGGGCTCCTGGAGTGGAGGAGAACATGCTCTTACTCCAGCTGTGGAGCAGAAGGGACCTGGCTGCCAGGGAAGCTACAGAGGCTTCCTGAGACAGAGTAGTGCTGGGGAGCTCTGGTCTGACACCACTCCCAGGCTGCTGGGCCTGGGACAAGACCTGAAGGTACTAGAGCTGCAGGGAGACAGCAGGTTCACATACTTGCCACTGACAAGTGGCCATTTCAGACTGCATCTGACGAAGTGGGTCTTTGCCCACGAAAGCTTATGCTCGTACACTTCAGTTAGTCTATAAGGCGCCACAGGACTCTTCGTCGCTTTTGCAGATTCAGACTAACACGGCTACCCCTCTGAAATTCAGACTGCAGTTTGCCCTTGAGGCAGAGGCTCGATGATGACTGGCAGTGGGTCACTGAGGCAAGGCAGGAATAGGGGGCTGGAAGAGAACCCCCAAGTGCGGGAGCACTGCCACAGGGCAGTCCAATGAGGAAGGGGCACCAGGGGCAGGAAGCAGTGCAGGAGACAGGTAACTGAAGGTGAGGCAGCGGCCAGCAGAGGGTGCTCCAAGACCGAAGAGCTAATTTCCCCGAGTGACCAGGAGGTGCCGCAGCAGTGAATCATGACTTGTTACAGTACTTCTCGAAGAAATGCCAAAGAGGTTGCCTGTGGTCTAGAGAAATGGGCCCTAATCCCATTTGGGGGAAGGAGCTGGGCAGACAGTGGCAATGATGCAGCCAGAGATACACTTAGGCTGTGTCTACACTAGCCGCTTTTCCGGAATAACTTGCCAGCTGTCTACACTGGCCGCTTGCTTTTCCGGAAAAGCAATGACGATCTAATGTAAAATTGTGTTTTTCCGGAAAAACTATGCTGCTCCCGTTCGGGCAAAAGTCCTTTTCCGGAAAAACTGTTCCGGAAAAGGGCCAGTGTAGACAGCCCAGTAGTCTTTTCCGCAAAAAAGCTCAGATCGCGAAAATGACGATCAGGGCTTTTTTGCGGAAAAGTGCGTCTACATTGGCCACGGACGCTTTTCCGGAAAAGCATCCTGCCAATGTAGACACGCTTTTCCCGGAAATACTTATAACGGAAAACTGTTCCGTTTTAAGCATTTCCAGAAAAGGGTACCAGTGTAGACGTAGCCTTAGATTCTGAGCAGATAATATTTGTCCTCATCATCACTCTGTTACAGGGATGAATAGCCCAGGTGCTCTTCTAATGGGTTTTGTTCTTTGTAGGTAAAACTTAAAAGCTTTGTCTGACATGGAAGGAGAAAAAGCCTCCTCTCCTCATTGGAAGCATAGGGTTTTGGAGAGAATATGGTAAATGAGCTGGCTGATAGATGGAAGTTACCTTTAGGGGCATGGCTGGCTTTAAGCCAATTTCCCCCCAAATTGGGCCCTGTGCCCTCAGGCTGTGGTCACCAACCGGTCGATCGTGAGGCCTCAACCAGTTGATTGCGAGGTGTTTGAGCCCTCCCACCCCCCCATTTCTCCCCACCCCTGAGAAGCCCCACTACCTACCTCCAGCGTAGTGCCGGCTTCCCGCGGGTTGGACGGAAGTCCTGCCTGCAGCTTCGCACCACTTCCGGGGGTTCCGGAAGTGTGCTGGCTGCTCCCTTCCCACAGCTCTGTGGCGTGTCGGGTGCACTGCAGGCGGGGGCGTGGGCCCCGGAGGAGGAGCACGGTGGCTTCCCTGCACTGCAGGAGGGGTGAGTCGAGAGCAGGGGTTTCCCTGTGCTGCGGGAGGGAGGGGGGGTGGTCGGCCCCAGGGTTTGGCCCTGGGGCAGGCACGCGCAGGGGTTTGGCGGGACATGACTCTGCCCTGTAGCTGGGGATTTAACAAAAAATCCTGGCTGCCGGAGCCCTGTCGAAACTGTTCGAATTGGGCCCCACACTTCCTAAAGCTGGTGCTGTTTAGGGGTGAATTGTGGGCAGAAGGAAACCCTTTCCTTTGGAATTTGGGGCATAGCGGGTTGGCCGTGAGTGCTACCACTTCACTCACCCTCCTGGCTGATGTGATAGTGACAGGAACGGCAACCTTCACAGACAGATGGGACACTGAGAACACAGACAGCGGTTCAAAGGGTGTTCTGGTAATTAGTAAGAGGATGAGATTTTGGAGTTGCACTACTGATGGGAAGGTCTTAGTGAGACCCTACAGGAACTTGGTAGGAATAGTGTCCCTAGCTTCAGAAGCTGGGAATGGGTGACAGGGGAGGGGATCATTTGATGATTTCCTGTTCTGTTCATTCCCTCTGGGGCACCTGGCATTGGCCACTGTTGAAATACATGATATTGGGTCGGATGGAATTTTGATCTGACCCAGTATGGCTTTTCTTATGTTAATGTAGTGGTTACAAAGTGAGTAAAACTAAAACAGCCATTTACCAGAGAGCGGATGGCACTAATTGCTGCTAGGTGGACCTAAAACAAGCTAATAGAAAGGCCTGACATGTTGAAAGTGAGGAGGCAGTCTGAAATAGCAGGAACACCTGGGCTATGTCTACACTCGCGGCTTCTTGCACGAGTAATATGCAAATGAGGCTAAGTGTGGAATATCGCTGAGCCTCATTTGCATACCTAATGAGCTTCCATTTTTTTCAGAAGAGGCTCTTGCGCAAGAAGGAGCATCTACAATGCCCCTTCTTGTGCAAGAAAAACCCTCTGGCACAATGCCGTTACACCTATTACTTTTCAGGAAGAATGGCATTAACGGCATTGTGCCAGAGGGTTTTTCTTGCGTAAGAAGGGGCAGTGTAGACGCTCCTTCTTGCGCAAGAGCCTCTTCTGAAAAAAACGGTGGCTCATTAGGTATGCAAATGAGGCTCAGCGATATTCCATGTTTAGCCTCATTTGCATATTACTCGCGCAAGAAGCCGCGAGTGTAGACATAGCCCTGCTGTCTCTTAAAATAACAGGTTATCTTGCTACATGTGATGCCTATCTTAAATTCCAGCCTATGAGGTGCAGAGAGTCTGGGTTGAGATGTCTGATCCCACTATTTCCCTGAGTTAGCAGAAGTGAGAAATGCTGAGGGTGTTCCTCATTGTATAACGGTTTTGTTCAGGACTGAACTTTGCATCTCTCACTTGTGGCCTGTGAAGACATATCTGCTGAGATTGTCTGCCAGAGAGCTTTGAGCACTAGGGAAATACCTCGCTGAGAGTGTGGTGTGATTCTGTGGCTTGCTGGTTGGCACCGAAGTTGGTATTAATAGAGAGCTGCTCCTGCTCACCTTATCTTCCTTATGGTCAGGAGATTTAAGCTGGCCCAAATCTTTAGGACCATAGCCTGAGGACTTGCCCAGTTTGGAAGGAGTCAAGGAGGGATCCTTTTTTTGTGAGCAGATCCGGAAGTGGATCTGATTTTGAGTCTGTGAGAGTGCCCCTTAGTCTAATGAAAGGCTTGAGACAATGAGCCTTTAGGCTTTACAGACTTGGCCTCTGTTCCAGAGATCATGCTCAGAAGGATGCTGCTCCCAGACTGAGGCCAATGTACAGAAATGCCCTTCCAGCCTAGATCTCATTGGGGTTTCTTGACTTTTTCCAAGAGGTGCACTCTCAATTGGAAATCTTCTCCCTCTTCCTTTTGGGTAGGGAAGGAGCAGCAGAAGTTGAATGCAGAAGAGACATAAGTCTTCCCAAGCAGTAAAGACAGTGTTGATGGCTATCGCTGGCAGAGAAGGAACTTGACGTGGAGATAATTCTGGGGTTTAAGAACTCTGGGCACAGATCTTCTCCTGAGGGTATGGTGGTGAACGGGAAAGGGCCCTGAGGTAGGGAAAAACTACTCTATACTAACTAAAAGCCTCTGTACTCTACTCTATACTATACTAAACTAAAGAAAACCACTAAAACCAGCACAATTCTAAGAAATATTTACAATATGACTGAAGGTAAGAAGATGATGAAGTTGCTTCAGATAGAGAGGATTCTGACTCAGGCCATGCGGTGGTCAGAAGGAACTGGACTGGAGAGACCATCAGTCCATACCTCTCCTTCTATCTTGGTACTGAGCACAAGGATCACCAGGGCACACGAGTGCACCAATGGGACACAACTTGCTGATTCTCTGATCTCGGGAGCATGGAGTGCATGTGTGGAATACACAGGGATAAGCACTAGAAGAAAAACCACCAATTTCTGTACTCCAACAAGCAAGGCTAAGAAAAACAAGACTGCACATACCCCAAACCAAAGTATAATGACACTAACAGATCTACATTCCCACACAGGAGAGGACAGTATTTGGAAAGACAAAAGGCCTGGGTTTTCCTTCAAAAAGCAGATCGCCTCCTCTTAGAATAGGGATCACTGACTAGGATAGGGAATAGCAGGTAGCTCCAAGGAACAGCTATGAACTGAAACATTGATAATAGCTGGTAAGAATAAAACTACTCCTTTTTCACACTTGAGTTTTTGCAGCTTCCTCTCTCTCTCTGTCCACATGGGACTCAAAATAAATGCCTCCCCCCCCCTTTTTTTTTAAGACAGTACATTGTTTAAACGACACTATAGTTAGGATCTCTTTGTAGATCTGGGAGTTAAAATTGCTGTCTATATGTTCCTAGAGGTGAAAGAATTTCTGCTCCCAAAGTGGTTTCAGGCAGAGGTAACTGTTCTACAATCCTCTCAAATCAGCAAAAGGTACTCATCTAGGTACTGCAGGCTTTGCTCTTGCAGGTGCTACAGCACTGAGTGACGTTAAAGTTAGTAGGACATGGCTGCCCACTGCTACTATTGTTCCTGAAATACTCACTGGAAACATATTAAGCAACTTTTTGCACAGTACACAAAGCGGCACACTTGAATGTCATCTCTCATAATATTCTCTGGTGTTCCAGACTTCTACAGCTTAAAGGCTTCCCTTCAAAAAGCCCAAAAGTTATTTCAGATCCTAGTTTTCTGCAATATGCCTTTCTCCAGCCAACATACTGATGCAAGAACCTCTTCTATGTATGTACTTTGCACCAAGTAATTGTCCAATTTCTAACAGCACTTACCTATAGTACTTCTCTTTGATAATGGCATAAATGAGGATCAGTGCTAGAAGACTATCTAAAACAACAGTTAGTATTTCCAGAGACACAATGGTTGGATCGGAATAAAGCCACCTTGCATCTGCTCTTCAAAGTTAATTCCATCACTGAGATAATCAATTTGAACAGGTAACTCCTTAGTGGGTGGGAGAATAGAAAGTACTGCTTCCCTGCACTGCTGGAAGAATGTGTCCACGTTCATCAAGTAACTTCTATTGAGGACCCCCCCACACACACACATATCTAGAAAAAGACTTTAGGATTAAAGACAGCACCGGTAAAGTACACAAGAGGAAAATGAAAAAGCTTGTTAACCAATGGAGATAATAGCGATTAGACAAATCCTAGAGATTAATTTCTAGAACTCAGCTATTTTCCCCCCACCTTCAAATTACTCTTACTATAGCGTTTCTGGCTAAGAGGAGTCAAATTCTGATCTCAGTTACGCCTGCACAGCCTGCTAGCTATATTAAATGAGGGAAGAATTGGACTTGCTTTCTAGTTTACAACCATAAATAATCAACATTTAAATAAAGTAGTAGCGGCAAATGGACTGCACATTTTTGTACGTATACAGACAAATTCAGTTATCATAACTGACAGAGAAATTATTTCCTCCAGAATTGAAGGGGCAGATTCTCAGGCATCACGGTGATGAAAGCCATAGAAATATTTCAGTGGATAGATGCAGAAGTTTCTAATAAAAACTATCTGTCCTAATGGAAACGATATTCAATAAATAGGATTCAATATTTAATAATATAACACATTAAGGCATCATGAGGGAAGAGAATAATCTTTAAAGAAACAAAAGTCAAGTCAAGCTGTCCTTAAGTGACAGTCTGTACAGTAAACTTTCGATAATCCAGCACCTTTAGGACCCAGGGGGTGCCAGATTATGATATGCCGGAATATTGGAAGGGGGGCTATGAGGGGTCTGAGGTGGGGGGAGGGTGAAGTGTCAGCGGGGAACTGCGCTGCATGGGAGAGGGTGGCGCTACGGGACCAACACGGCAGCACCCCAGCTGCTCTGCCTCCGGCTTCCCTAAGTCAGCCGCTGGTCAGTTTCAGCAGCAGCGGACTTGGGGAAGCCGGGGGCAGAGCAGCTCCAATTGTCTGGCTGGCCAGAGCACTTCTGGGTTCCAGTTGGTGCCGGACTATCAGGAGTGCTGGAGCATTGCATGCCAGACAATTGGAGTTTTACTGTATTAAGTTAGAATGATAGACGAGTTCACGAACGCTGTTTGATGTAGAGGTTTGTATTAGTTTCACATGGTCAATGATTCAGCTTTATCAGTTCATGTTATAGTATGCTTGTTAACTATGCAAACACCAATGCACAAAAATAGCACTGCAAAACCTCTACCATATCTGAGTTTGTTTTCAAACATACTACAGATGCCCCAAGTGTGAATGGTTTTTAAAAGAAAATAGTTATAGTCCTTGTAGGTCTCAATCCTGCATTCTCTGTGCACCCAGGATTTCTATTCTAAGCAATGCATTTTGGGAGCACAAAAATGACTGAATGAGACCCTTTATCAAAACAAACTAAAGGTTAAAAACTGAATTTGCCATTTTGTTCTATAACCCTATTATAAGGGTCATAAATGCTGCATTTTAACTAACAAGACTTCTTTACAGTAAGAACAAATATCAAGAAAATGTGATGCATTACATTCCCAAAACGTCAGCTTTAAACTTCATCTCGGTGGGAGAGTATCTGAAATCAGAATTTATGTTGCTCTCTTCATTAAACTAACAAGCAAATGCATATCAGCTAAAACAAGTTAATCTCTTCAAAGATATTGCTCCAGCAATGTGTTGTTAGCCACTTGTAAGTCATCACAGGCAGAACAAACGTACCACAAAGGAAACTAACAGGCTATGGTATAATTGCATTAAACTTTAGTAATGTTGTTTTTTCCTTACTTGGTTTTCCTTACTTTCTCAAAGGCAGAGAGCGGTTGCCAAGTTTTGTTTTTGGGAACAGATAATTTGGACTAAAAAGGACACTCCCGCAAGCTGCCATTGGGACATAAAGTAAATCAAATGTTGGAGATAAATTAGCAGGAGACTCTGGTTCCTCAAAGTCTTTCCAACACATTAAAATGAACAATTGTTCTTTGAGTGACTGTCCACGAGAATTCCACTCTTGATGTGCATGCCCCATGTAAATGAAATTGGATTCTTTGGCCACCAGTGTCTGATGGGGCCACATATGCACCCTACAGATCCTTGTGCCAACATCTGACAAATATTCCGGCTGGCATAACATGAAAACTATACTTACACAAAGAGGCAAATATGTTGTCTGACTCTGCCACTGTTCCTATTAAAGACAGGTACACAAAGGGGCCCTCCTGAGAGAGAAAAACAAGGCAGGAATGTATTATAATTTCAACCAGGCATGACAACATCCATATTAACACTGAGAATATGGTATAGGACATTCTAGGAATGTCATAGATTAGATAAGGAAACTATTCATAAACATAGAAATCCTGTGTATAAACTTCTCAGCAGCGCCACATACTGCACATGCCTTTCAAATAATTTTATACATGCATTAAAGTAATCCTTTAAAAATATGACCATTTTGAGTTGTAAAGTGTCAGCTGCCTTATTTTATTTTAGGTCTACTCTCCACACTTTTCTCCCTTATTCCTCATACACATAATTCCCCCCCCCCCCCCCATGCAAATACACTATGGGTATGCAACAAATGAGACATCAGAACCAAGACATTTAAAATGGCAAATCTGAACAGGCTACAGAAGCCACTTTCCCAAGATCAAGAGTCCATAATAAATATAATCTAACACTTATATCATAGCTTCAGTCAGAAAACATCAGAGTTTTCTATAAACATTCAGTAGGTGAGGAAAGGAAGAGAGGTCTGACAGGAGTCAGAAGAGTCCTGACAATATGGTTAACTGTTAGCCAGGAATGTTTTATAATAAGCCAGGCAAAGCTTGTGAGAACAGTGATAGGAGAGTGAAAGGAAAGTTACAGAACATAAGTACAGGATGAACCTCCTAAATCCAGGACTCTCTGGTTCAGCAACATCTATGGTCTGGCAGGATTATGGATGTTGCTGGACCAGAGAACCCCAGCACCCAGGGGTGCGAGCTGGTCAGGAGTCCAGTGGTGGGGAGCCCCACCATTGGGACCATTGAGGCCCGTCCCGGGGGAGGAGCGGCAGCAGCAGGACCGGCAAGCCCCGTTCCAGGGAGTGCCAGCTGGGCATGGCACAACAGGGCAGTCACAGAGCCCCGACTCAGTGTGGCAGCTGCAGAGCCTGGTCCCGGGGAAGCCCCGACTGGGCACAGCAGCAGCGAGACAGCTGTGGAGCCCTGATCCCACGGGACAGAAGTAGGGCCATGGTGGCTAGGGGCTCCATCCCTGGAGAGCCCCAGCTGGCTGGTAGCAGTGAGCTGGAATCAAGCTCAAGCCCTGTAGCAGCAGAGCTAGAGCAGAGCCAGCTGGAGGAAGGGGTAATGTCCTGGGAAGCTTGTGGCAGGGGACCTCCCCTGATCCGGCAAATTCCCTCATTTGGGACAGATCAGGTCCAACCTCTATGCAAGACAATCAAAGACTGTGAAAGCAAAGAAAAACAAACACCCTACGAAATCTGCCTGAAAATATAAAGTTGTTCTCAATTCTGTCCTTGCACTAACAGCATGAAGGGTATGAACTACTGCCTGACCTCATTCTAGTTAAAGTTTAAAAAAAGATACCCCATGTGTCAATTCTAAGAATAATCAGTTCTGGTGAGGGCTAAGTCCAGTGGCTAGGACTAGTACCAATGTACTTGAATAAAAAGCTCTGAGGTGGCAGGGGCTCGTACTGATGACTACAAGATCAGGGAACACCATGGCACCCCTTCTGGAGAGAACACCAAAAAGAGAGAACAGTAAATTGTTCTATCAAATGTAGTATTGGGCAAAGTTCCAGGTTGTCTGCCCAGAGCAGTACAGGGCAGATACCAGAACAGCAGGCTTCTTTTCAGAGTGGTACCAGCATGCTGTTACCCTGGCTCTGAGGGATCACCTCTAGATCAGAATGGATAGTTCATTTATCTTCTATTCTCTGACGAATCACTGGTTAACCTTCACAGTTACATGCAGGGGAGGAGTAGGAGGGGCAGGTGGGAACTGGTGCTCCTGGTTACACTTTTACACAGGGAAGAGGTGGCTCCCTGTGCATACCAGCTCCTGCCTGTCCCCGCTCCCCCCCCCCCCC